TATTGCTCAGAAAATGTCACTCCTCTGTGTATGAGCCCTGTAGATATCTGGCTCCACCTCTAGGCGAGTGACAGTCTGCTTCACCAGATGAGCTGCCCATCACACCTTATACTGCTGTTTGTTTGGCTTGTAATTATTATTTTGGGGAAAAAAAGTCAAACCAGAGCATGTTGTGACACTGGTGGTCCTTGGTAGCAGCACACACCTGGGACAGCCCACGAGGAAGGAGTTTTCACTCTATAGAGTGCAAAATAAGCTGGATCAAAGATTTAAAGGAACACAACCAAATCAAAACAAACAACCATTGTTAGATTCTCAGAAAATATTACCTGCTGCATTCTGTTATTGATGTCTATTCTGCTGGAACAGCAATTTTCAGAGACTCCTGCCTATTCCGTGAATATGTTGTGAGAAAGAAATGAACTGCTTAATGACACAACGAACAAATCTGCTGTGAGGTGGCTTGAGTTTCCCTTTGCTTGCAGTCCAGCAGCACTTGTGTGCTAAATGCTGTGCTTTCAGAGAGCTCACAGTGGGCTGCACACACACGGGGGGAGATGTAGGATGGCAGATTACAGGGAGATAATGGAGCAAGTCAAATGGGAAAATGAAACAGCAGAAAACGCACATGCTGCTTTGTTTCTTCCTTCTTGCATTAATAAAACCAGTACTGTTGTGTTTATTGCCAAATGATAGCCTGTAAGTGTGTGTGGGTAATGACCTGCACAGACCCACCAGCTCCTGGGGAGTGTGCTGACATTAGTACCTCAGTGAACTGACCTGCAGCCTTTTGCTGTGTTGCACCATGCTGTGTTGCAGCCTAAGCCCATTCCTGGGAGGACGATGCGTGGTGCTGTCCTAGGAGCTCCCAGTGGAATGGCCCAGAGCCCCTTGCTGAGGGGTTTTAATTCGGTGCCATCATGAAACATCTGAACAAGCCTGAACTGCCAGCATGCTATTTATTAGCTGCAATGGATACTTCACATCCTGCCAAAGCCTTATTTTCTGTCTAATTACACACACGGGGCAAGCTGCGGCTCTGAGCAGGGCGTTAGCAAAGGTACAACTCCCTGCCCTTAAGCTGTCAGCCAATAGCCATGCCCAGTTCCCTCCTTGTGTCCTGGGCTGTGTCAGGACCTTTGATGTGCTTGAAGCCTTCCCTGGTGGCAGGAATTGCTTCCACACTATCTGTACACTATGTCCATTATGTAGCTCACATCTGGGTTTGTCACTGTGCACAAGATGTGGTCACTTGGTTTTGTATAGGGCTGAAGAGTGTCCTTTCTGTTGCTTGTAGCGTGGTCCAGACACATGGCACTGACTGACCAGAGCCTCACAAAATAACCAAACGAATAAATGTTATTTTGGTATTGCTTTATGGAATAGTCTGGCCATGCCTGTAGTTAGAAGGATTAGCTCATATCACGTGCCACAAAAATGCTTTCAGTGTGATTATGCCAAAAGATTCATGCCTTGTATCAGTGCTGTAATATGTGCCATAAAATACAGGATACCTTTGCCATCCATCCTTCTATCTTCCTTCAGTCTCTATTCTGCCTGTGTTCCAGGACAATTCTGGAGTCACACTCACATCCAGGATCTGAGTGATGCAGATTGAGAAATAATTGTAAGAGGTTTTGAGGAAGAGAGCAAGTAACTTGCAAGGAGCTGGCAGTGAGAGGTAATGTCACACACAGCACAGCTAAGGGCTAAAGTACAAACCCTATGGCACGATGGGGCTCCTAGGAAGAAGGGCTGGGAGACCCTTAGTCGTGCCGTCAAGCACAGATCATGCAGGGAAGGTGACCACTAGTGGAGAAGCTGGAAAAAATCTCTGTGGTTATAGTGCTGTGGTCACTGAGCTCCTGAAGAGTTGCTGACGCTGGTGGGTGGGCAGAGAAAAGGGAGCTGGCTGGAAAGCACGTCTACTTTACAAAGAGCTTTGTGCAATTCTGGGCCCTGTTCTCATTGCATGGTTGGAAAAGAGGAGCACAGCCTTACTTGCTAAAGGACAGAGGCAGGTATGCACATAAGTCTAATGCAAAACTCCCATTCACCCTTGTGCACATCATCCTGAGGTTTTGTATATGCACCCAGGGTAACAGTGAGCAGAACACTGTGACTCCTATGGCTTTGACAGAGTTTCCTGGTGATATTTTCTCAACCTGTCACAACACAGAGATGAAGCCAGATGAAGTCGTGCATCTTTCCCTGTTTGTCCCCGACAATCTGAAATTTCATTTTAATTTCTGTTCAGTGGGCACCTTCCATTAATAATGCGAGGTGTGAATGTGTTCCTCTCTGTATTTCCACTTGGCTCTGTGCAGAAGGAACTTGTCTGTCTGTCTGGCGCATCACGACTGTGCCTGGCTTCACCCAGCAGCTCACACTATGCTGCTCTCTGGCTGCACCCACGGATGGCACAGTGCATAGGAACACACAGCAGCAGTTTTCTTGTGTGCCAAATACACATAAGGTTCCTTTGCATTCTTCTGCCTGTGGAAGATGGCAAGGATGATTTCTCTTCATGCAGCTAACTTCAGTTTGTGCTGTGCTTCCTTCTGAACTCTCAGAAATCAATGCTGCTGATAAAACGTGTGTGTAGCCTTTAGTTCCCAAGGACTTATCACATAAGCTATTTCATTTTCTTGCCAGTGGCCAACTAAGATAGCAGTATAATGAGACAGATCACATCTGCAGAGTGTATACAGCCAAAGAAATGTGCTCTCACTACAGTCAGTATTGCAGTAACGGACACATTTACTTCTCAGTAGTATTTTCTCTTTTCATATGGTGATTGTAACCAGAGCCATAAATCTGGGGGACGCTTTATATGCTGCGTTAGGACTTGACTGAAATTCCATTTAACTCACTGAAAGCTTTCTTATTGACCCTAGTGGGCTGAGTGCTTGTGAATAAGGAAAAGCCAGTCTGTTTTAAAATAAGAATTCTATCTATGTCATCATGGTTAGCAAGAAATAAAACAACCTGCATATTGTTCACCAACAATACCACTTATCTGCTGCTTCCATGCACCCAGCTCTCACATGGAGTGCAGCAACAACTGCTCAGAGATTCCTACTCATCCCAGTGGTGTTTAGAAACACAGGTATAAGAGGAAGAAGAAAATACCCATACCTGAGTGATGTGGCTATTGATATAAAACGGAAATTACACAAAAGTTAAACAGCCAACAGAAGTAAGCATCACAGCCTGCTTCTGAAAGCCTTGATGGAGAAGCTCCCTTGTAGCCTTATTTCTACACAATTCTGCGTAGAAAATACTAATTTTTTTAATGAATCACACTTTCTGTGGATAATGTTAGGAAACCTTGATCTTCGTTTTTAAACTGCAATACAGCCTGCGGCTGTGACCTGATTATAAAAGCACTCAGCCAAAAAATAAAAAAAAAAGGTTATGAAGATTTAACAATTACACTTGTCTAGATAATTAAATATGATTCAGGAGACTGAAACTAATGTGCTGCTGCTGGTCTGCCATCTGCATGTTACTCTGTGGGCTAAAGCATTAGAGTGTACCGATGAGCTCACTGCAAGCCTTCCGACTCCAGGGATTTTATGGAGATGTGAGGACACTCAAGAAGCTCTTGTCAGAACCCTGCATGGCAGTGCCAATTAATACTGAAAATAATTACAGCTGTGCTACTGCAAAATATTATTTTGCAAAGACTGTGTTTAAACATAATTCAGATTTCCACATGCTGACGAGGAAAAGAGGAAACAACACGGACGGGTCTGTGAAGTGCATGCAGAAACAAGTGCTTCATTAATGATAAAATATTTAATAGTGCCTTTATCGGCATGCAGTCATGTGTTTAAATAGCATGAGCCACAGATGACTGTTTCAGCTCCTCATCTGCCTTATGGGAGGCAAGAAAGGGCTCGTTGTTTGATTTGTAAGATGAGACAGCTTGTTGCACAAGGCAATGGAGGAGACTGCACAGAGAATGCTGCAGCCAAGCATTCCCTGAGCTGCTTTGGACTCCTGCCATAAGGAAGTGCAGTGGGTGCAGCCGCTGTGCAGGGAACGTGAAAGGTATTAGAAAGGAAACGTACCTCTAAAGCAAAGAAAATGAATGACCCCACCTGGTCAGTAAACAACAGAGGTGGTAATTACACATGTGTGCAACACAGGGCTATGAAACAGAAATGAAATGCTAGGATTAAAAAGAAAAAAAAAAAAAGTGATGGGTTTCTCTTACTTCTTTTTTGCTTGTCTTAGATGTTAACGTAAGAGTTTCTGACATGAATCAAGCATAGATAAATCCCTACTGATAAGTTCCTGATTTCTTCTCAGGTCATGGTGTTCCCAAATGCTGGCAAACAATCTGAGAGCTGCTCTGGGGTCACTGGAAGCACTGAGTGGGAGGCACAGGGGAGCTGCTCTGCAGATGGAAAGCACAAACGTGTCTTTCTGGAAGCCAAGAGATGCAAACCTTATTTATGTTTCTTTGTGATTAACAGAAAATTGCAACACTCAGCTAAACCCAAATTCTGTGTCTGAATGGGCCGTGCTCACTGCCCTGGGCAGCTGTTCTGTGCCCACCGCCCTCTGGTGCAGACCCTTTCCCCCAGTCCCCACCCACCCCTCCCCTCACACAGCTCTGTTCCCTCGGGCTCTGACCAAACAGCGGACGCCAGCACAGCGAGGCATCGGGCAGTCACTCTTAAAGGAAAGGAGACATTATTCGTTTTGCTGCCCGAGAAGCGGAACCCCGATTCCACCCATGCGCCCCTCACAGCCCGGCCACGTGCCGCGCGCCACGCGAGCGCAGCCCCGCCCACTTCCGCTCCGTGCTCCAATCACCGCACGGCATCTCCGGAACTACGCTTCCCAGCGTGCCCCGCGGCACGGCTCCCTTGCCTCCTTCCGCTTTCCGCCTGCCGCAAAGTGTCGCGCCACGGCTCGCGGGCTGTGCCGGTGGCTGCGGGCCGTGCCCGGAGCGAGCCGCGGTGGCGGAGCGCGGCCGCCATGGGTGGAGGGCGCTGACCCCGCGCTGCCAGCGGCGGCGGCGGCATGGAGGAGGAGAGCATGGAGGAGGAGGGCGGCGGCGAGGCCATGATGGACGACCAGAACCACAACAACTGGGGCGCCGGCGGCTACGGGCGGCACCTGCTGGGCCCTGCCACCGCCGCTCCTCTCGGCGACCGTCTCCTGCGCGGCCCCGCGGGGCCCCCGGCCGGACCGCTGCTGCCCGTGGAGCCCGAGGCCAACGGCGTGCTGAGGAGCTGCGACCCGGCGGGCGCTGCGGGCAAGGGGGGGCCGGGAGCCATCGCCGCCGCCATCAACATCAACGCCTCCACCTCCAAGTTCCGTGAGTTAGCCCCGGCTGGCGGGGCTGCCCGCTGCCTTCCTCCTTCCCTCGCTCGGAGCTGGGCTGGCCGGGGGTGGGGGCTCGGAGCCTTCGCGAGGCGCTTCATGGAGCGTGGTCGGCGCTCGGCTGGGAGGGAGAAGTGCCTTTCCGAACGCTGCCGCGGCTGCTGAGCTGTGTCACGGGCCGGGGGTCGGCACTGCGGGACCGCGTGGCCTGGCCTGGGGCTCGTGACTTGGGGAACTGAGCCCAGTAGCAGGGAGTGGTGCAGGATGGTGCGAAGCCCGTTGGCTTGCTGGAGAGGAAATGCGTGCAGACCCGTCCCCAAAGGGTTGCATGTGTCTGTAGAGGCCTGGGAAGAGAAGCAGAGAGCTAGATTCAAACCATCGTTTGCAGTATGGTTTTAGCAGCAATGGTAAATGTAGACCTTTTTCTGCCGTTTTGCTGAGCTAAGGCTGAAGGAAGGAAAGGCCTTTCTGCTGTTCTTTTTGATTCTACTTTCATTTCTAGCAGTCATATCTCTGGGCGAAGTACACCCTTTTCCCTATTGGCTTTCAGAAAACTTGGGTTTGGTGAATAAATTCCTCGAACTATAGCCATGTAATTGCCATGATGAAATTTTGATGGGAAGTGTACTTCTTTTTTTCCTTCTTCCCTGTGCCAGCTCACCTGCATAGCTCCTCAGAAGCCAGAAGTTCAGGCTCCCTGCAGCCCCAGCTCCGTGGCTCTTGGCACACTGCCAGGGCCGGTTGCTTTGAAGCCGAGGCTCCCAGACTCCCTAAGCTTGCTGGCTCGTTGCCTGCCCAGCTGTCAGGGCCCCAGGTACCTTGGGGTGGCTTGTAAATGCTTGGGAAGGTTGCAGAGAAACGGTGCTCGGCTTCGCTAAATAGAGCCCTTCAATTCCCGATTCAGAAGTTGAGAGCTGGAGTTTTTCCTTCTATTTCAGAATGAAAATGCTTGCAAACTCTGGATCTTACACAAATGGGAAGGTTGTTTCCTAGCTAGTCTGTAGCATGTATGTAAGGGGCAGGAAAGGCAGCTCTGTGTGATTTTGCTTAGTGTGTGCTTTTTTGAGTTCTAGATTTTGCTTCTCCAGCATTAATATCCAACATCCCAATTGTCTTACTGGTATTCAGATATTTTTAAAAAGAAAATGAAGAGTCCTTTAAAATACAAAAACCTGTGAGGTGTTATATCTGGTACAACTTTTCTGCACCTTTACCTACTGTTGGTAATTGTGTATACAATCAACACAAATCCAGTGAGACAGTGAGGACAGAGAAAGTACAGCAGCTGAGCTGGGGTCCTGCATGTTCCAATCCTCATACTGACGTAGGACTCTTCCATCTCTACTTAATTATCACATATGAATAAAGGGAGAGAAGTTTCCTCAGGGGAAAATGGGCAGTGAATAGGGAGGCAGCTGTGCTCATTCCCCTCCTGTCTGCTGTGCTTTTGCAGTGGCTGAGCACACGTGCAAAACTGCCTGTCAGCGCTGAGCTTGACAAGAAAGTTGTCTGCTCTGTGCAGCATGAAGGGGTTCTTCAGAGAAGGGCTGTTCTCTGCTTCTGTCAAGAAGCTGAGACTTCCTTTTGGACAGGTTGTCCTGCAGTGACATGAATAGCTTATTTCCTGCAGTGCTCTGGTAAATCAGAGCTCTGGTGACATTCATATTGGTTTATTCCTTTGTATTTTTCCTCTAAAGCAAACAAACAAACAAATCTATCACCTGTGTTTTAGTATGTAATTAATTGCAGCTTATTGCTTTTGTTCATGTTTTTAGTTGCAGACTAATGTGGTCTAATGGTCCCTTTTTGGTCTTATTCATCTTGTAGATAAATGGAGGAAGAAGGTTAGAAATATTTAGAAGTTTCCATCTGGAGGGTGCAAGTAAATTCTCCTTCCTTTAGATTTGGATAAGGCTGAGAACTGAGATGTGGTAATGTGTTGTCTCCTTTAATAGCTTTTATGCAAGTTAGAGCAACATAAGGAAATCTTCCATGCTGTGGTGGACTTACAAGTAAACCTATTTCCAGTTGATTAGATTCAATCCTTGCTAATGATTTGTAAAGCAATACTGCTATGAAAAATGTTTCTTCATTGTCATAAAGGAGGAAGTAAGAAATTTTATTGCTGTAAGAGAAACTTCTTCCACACTGGTAACTGGGGGCATACCCTGGTTGTGGGGAGAATGTACAGTCTTCTTTTTTCATCCTTTTCAAACAAGGGTGAGTATGAATATATGTAATCCCAGTCCCATTTTGGATGGGCATGTGGGGCTGTGTCAGCATATCCAGTAAACCTCTGCCTGCCCTGTTGCATAATGTACAGTGCTTTGCACGTGGCTGCATACACAAATAGTATGATGAGAGGGGAAAAAGACGTTGAACATTATATTTACTCACCAGTGTTAGTGCAGATAGAGAAATCTGTCATTAAAAACAAACGGATTGAAAGCTGCTATGATGCAGATCCATGCACTTGCTGTATTCCCTCTCCAAACTGTTGTGCTGTGCTCAGGAAGTCTCTTGTCAGGCTGTGTGAGTACAAGAGAGAAGGGAGAAAAAGAAAGACATGGGTCTACAGCGATGGCTGCAGGTCTGCTCAGCACTCTCAGTTGTCTGTCTGATGTTCTTACGCTTGCACAAAATGTTTTTAGAGTTGTAGTGCACATTGCTAATTAGGTGGTAAGGCTTAACGTATTTCATTTCTGAGATGAAATAATCAAAGCTTCTTAAAGACGTCTTGCTTCTTTCACACTTGAATTTTTATTGACTCAGTAAATGACAGACGATGGACAGACCATGGTGTGCCTAGCTGGCAGCAGGTTGGGTTCCTTTATGCCTTCTTCCCTTCCGTTTTCAGCCATGGCTTTAAAAGAAGGGTGGCTTTTCTGTGTTACTGTAGTAAACTTTTGGAGTGCTTTTCAGGTAAAGTTGCCTTGCATAAATAACAATCAACAGGATCATTGATTGTTACTAATATTGTTCTTACTGTTCTGTATTATGACCTTTCATAGCCCTTTCTTGGGCTATGCAGAAAATTCTTACATTTTTCCTATCACTCGGATGAGTGATCCATGCCTACTTTTGGATTTTCTTCTTCTTTTTATAATTCTAACTGTTGTTGTTTTGGTTTTTTTTGCCATCCTGATAGATGTTTTGGAGAAGGCTGTATTTAGGTTCTGGCTATGGTACCAAAATATTTAGGTTATGCTATGAAGCTCATGCATATTCTTTTTCACTTACATGATTTCAGTGCTGCATTTGACTTGCACAGTTTTTCTTTTGAACTTCTCAGCGCATGGAAAAGCAGCAGTTGCTTTTCTAGCTTTGCTTGTGAAATGTAATTTGCTGGAGAGTATCAGTGTCCATTGAATCAGATTTGGGTGGAGCAGGGAGAGAAATGAAATGTGTGTGTTGTTACAGAAAACACCGCTTCCCACAAACTTGACCAACCTCAAGAAAATCAAGCTTGTCTTCTAGAATCACCCTTACCCTGCAGGTTGGAAATGGAGACAGTTGGATGCATATTCTTTGAAATGTTGGATGCCTGTTGTAGGGATAAACTGTTAAGAACAGCATCCTGAAAAGATGTGGGGAAAAAAGGTTACAGATGGTTTTAGAAGGGTTGTTGTAGTTTTTGTAAGGTGAGTGTGGTTCCTTTGCTTCCTGGTCCTGAGGTTGTTCTCGCAGAGCTTGCAGTAGCAGGATACTGCCTTCAAAAAGGCTGTTGCTGACTTGGGACAGTTGCTGAAACCTGACAGTAATCTGGTTTCTGGATTAGAAGAACAAAAAATAGTGATTGTTTGATGGGTTGGCCTTGGGCTCTTAGAGATGTAAATGTTGTGCCTGGCCTGTCTTCAGAACTGAAGTGTGGGAATCAAAGCTTTTAGGAAGTTAGGTGGAACCCATGAATGTTTCTTATGCAAATCTGATGGGGCTTTTGTAGAAAGCATTTTGTGCTTGAGCTGAGTAGTGTTTCTAGGCCTGGCTGCTGCTGCTGCTTTCTCCTTCTGTGTGCATAGGAAATATATAGATTAGGCATATATATTAGGAAAGCATCCTAACTATGACTGAAGACAAAGGAAACTGTATGGTATGAAGGTTTAGGCCAGGTGAGCTGCTGGCCTCGTCTGGGGTGCATAACAGCTGCTGGGAAGGACATTGGAAGAGGCAATCTATCCAGGCACCATTTGGCAGATTTTTTCCTTTTAATTTAAATAAAAAGATGCAAATTGAAGTATGGGCTTTATTTGTAGATGAGGTTATCTTAGCAGAACTGAGTTGTTCCTTATTTTTTTTTCTGCAAGCTCGGAGGTGTGTTTTGAAATTGCACCTCACTCATTTACTCCTGATCGTTTAACCAAAAGTCACTAAATATAATTTTCCTCTTTTCCTTGTAGTAATGAATGTTATAACAATTGAAGACTATAAGAGCACATATTGGCCAAAGTTGGACAGTGCCATAGATCAGCTTTTAACTCAGAGTCCTGGTGACTACATCCCTATCTCCTATGAACAAATATACAGGTAAGGAAATCTTTCAAGTGTTTCATGACTTCCTTTTTGTATGTTAATGTTTGTTCTGTCTTGCAGCCTATGCATGTGTCATGTTTTGTATTTATGTGGAAGGAAGAGAAGGTTCAATAAAGTAGAACATTGTTTAAATCATTTGAATGGGTAAATATCAGATAAATAACTTTATATCCCATGTTGTCAGAAGTAAGTACTGAAGGGGAGAAAATACATGAAGTGTTGATGCAAGAGTAATCTCCACCACAGTTGCTTAGTGTAATGCATTATGAAATGTATTGAAGTCTCAACATCCCTTTCCTCAAAGGGGAAGAGGAGAAAGGCATGGTAGGTGTCTGACTGGGGGGCTGCTGCCGTTTGCTGGTCCTTGCCTGCAGCACAGCTAGTAGCACAGTGTTGCACGCTGAGGAATAACACAGGCATTTCAGTCAATGCCTGCTCTTTTCAGAAAGTTTCAGCTGTGTCTCCTATTCACTTGTTCTTAGCTGTTGGTCCATCTAGTTTGAAACTCTGGATTGAAGAGCCAGATACCAGATTGGCAGACCTTCGGTCTTCCATCTTAACTCCAGTTAAGAATTTCAGTAAAACTCCTCTTTCCTCTTCAAGCTTCTGGAGCTGCTTTTGTCAGGATTCAGACATCAGCACATGTATAAATAATAATGGTAGTCAATTTGACTTGGGATGGGTTTTGCAACTGTAGTGTGTGTAATGAAACTCCCCTCCCCAGCTTGAAATTACATATGTGCTAACAGTCATCAGGAATAGTGAAGTCATCATCTGCTGGCAGTCCTCTGTAATTGACATGATCTATACCTGGTTAAGATTCTTTTTAAAATTATATATTAAAGGGGTAATACGTTTTAAGTTAATTCAATCGAACCCTTGGACATCAGAGTGAAACTTAGTGCAGTATTTTAGTGATACACAGATGTCTGAAGCATGTATTTTTAGTATTATCAAAACAAGTCTGTAACATAGCATTGCTGGGAAAGCTGGCATCCCTTTTTTGGAGTTTTCTTTTAAAGCTGCCTATGGATGTATTTACACTGACACAGCCTTTTCCAGCCTGGAGATTTATTTATTGTGGTGTCCCTTTGCCTGAGTTACAATCTAGACAAGATAGATTGAGGATGGAAGAAAGTTCCTTTTTGTTGAATTTATTGATGATGCTTCCATGGAATATCACAGAAAGTAAGTAGCAGACTTAGGGTGTAGATCCTCTCTGCTTCTCTATGCTAGTTCTTTGCTTTGAAAATTAAGGTTGTTTTTTTTTTTTTTTTTTTTTTTTTTTTTAGTCTCAAGCAGCTAGATATCTTTTTTTCCCTCAGTGAGATTGAGCTGAAAATTGGCTTGTCTGCTTTGATCATCTTTGTGCTGAATAAAGGACTTGAGGTTTCTTTATTGCGGACTTGAAATGTCTTATTAGATATACAAGCTAGAGTATTTTCTGTGGTCAGTAACTGCACAGCAGTGAAAGCTAGGCGATAACTTCAGAGGTGTGTATGCTGATATTTGCTGTGGATCAGTTTAGATATAAGCTACCAAAGTGTGATCAGTGACTGTTCTCATCTTTGAGTCCAAAGCTTGCCTGTTTATAGTTGCTTCCTCTTAAAGGAATGAAGTTAACAGAGTTGTAACAAAGTGAGATGAGGAAAATGTGGGCAACCAAGCTGTGTTTTTGACAATCCTTACAAGTGTTTCTTAAGGCTAATGCAAGTAGATCACTGTTCCTCAAGACACCTTACAATCTCAAAACTTCATTCCTCCCACTAACTGTCCTACTTGAGTGGTGCTGAGCTGTGCTAACAGACTAACAAGTCAGTGGCTTCTTTGGGGGTAATAGAAGGGCAAGGATGATTCACAGAGTCAGCCTACAATCGGGAAGTGAAAACAGGATCTGCAAATGGGGAAGTAACATCTAAATATAAGTGTTCAGATAAAGTATAAACATGTCCTACATGCACTTATTAAAAACTGCAACATATCCTGTAGTCAAACACCAGAAGTACAGTGATAGTGCATGTAGCAGTAAGCAGACCTGCTTTAAAATTCAGTTTAGTTATGAAGTTATAAATGAAGCTGTCAGCTTGAGGAAGCAGCTGTATACCCATTGGTGATGCAGCAAACAAACATCAGGCCGTTGTTGCTGTTGGTGTGCTGGCTGGTTTGTAAGAGATCACAGTAGTCATTTTGTCTTTTCTTACCAATGTTTCTTTCTTTGATCTAAATTAAATTCATATGCTTGCTGTTGCAGCACCGTAACGAAATATCTTCTGCTCCTGATGGTTCCACAGAAGGACCTACTATTGGTAGACTTCATGTGAAAGAATTAGGTTTTTTGACTACTTTTTTTAAACAATACCACACTGCACATTATTTTTAAAATATGAGAGAGGGAGTGGTGTAGGATATCTTTTTTTCTTTAAAAAACAACAACAGTGGCTTTACATAAGGGTGAACAAAATATTTTTGGTGCTTTTGAAGTTGTCAAAGGGAATTGTAAAAGGTAAAGGAATATTAAATCTGTTACTGGTAGTCTGCTTGTCAAACCTTCTTCCAAAAGGATTTGAGAATGGCAGTTACTGAAGTACGTACTGTCTTGGCCCCTGAAGTCACAAGTGTTGGTGTTTTACCTTTTCTTTGCATTACAAAATTAGAGTAGCCCTGAGCTGTGTCAATGCCACCTCTTCAGTTTTTTTTTTTTCCTGGAATCACTTGCTCAGTTAGGAATCACATGTGATTATTACCTTGGAGGGATGTGTTGATTTTCTTTAGCCTGTAGGTATCATTAAAAACATACCAGAATTGTTGTCTGGGTTCTGGACATCTCATTAATTTCTGTGCATGTTCTAAGGAACAGTTTTTGGCCTGAAGTACTTGTTCTTGCAGTACTCCACATAGTCAGGGAGAGAGGGGCAGGAAAGAGGCATGGGGAGGAGGTTTGGTCTGACCAAGGTCCAGATGAAGGCTTCCTGTGCCTCTTAGTTTTTGGCAGCTATCTTTCAGGGGCTGACTTAGAGAATGTAAGCACTGTAGTGAAGCAGAAGTTACTTGGTGCTGATAATGCCCTGAAGATGACTGCCTTAATGCTACTTGCTGCTTAAAATTGTGTGTGTGTGTGTGTGTGTGTCTTATAACCATTGTAAATGTTTTACGTACGTAGACCTACTGCAGATGTGCTGTTATTGCAAAATGAGAGCAGTAAAATGTTCTTAAAAAGCAAAAGTGACACTGAAGAGCAGAATTAATACAGCCAATCCGTGAAGTGGAGAACAAAAGTTGTGTTTCTCTTTGCACATCTTTGTTTATTGTGAAATATAGTTGTTGGTTGTTTTTTTGTTTTTAGGTTTTAAGTCACAGAAGATAGAACAACATGCGTAGGGCTTTATTTTCAGAACTTCTGCTGGTCTGTTCAGAAGTGCCCTGTTAGAGTTCATTGTAAGTTAAGCTGTAGTTAGGTGGGGCTGAAGGCATGGCTGACTTAAGAGTCTACTGCAGTAGGGCTGCATTTAGAAGTTCAGCAATCATTCACTTAAGTTTGTTAGCATCTGAATTGAGACTTGAACGAAATATTTTGAAGTCTGTTACCCTTCATTGCAAACTGTTGTAAGTTCATTGTTTGTTCCTATATTTGTTTCTGCAGTTGTGTGTATAAGTGTGTATGCCAGCAGCATTCGGAACAGATGTATAGTGACCTAATAAAAAAGATAACTAACCACTTAGAGAGAGTCTCAAAGGAGCTGCAGGTAAGAAGCTGCACAATCTAATTCTATCTTTCCTGGGATCTGTGCTTATATTGGAGCAGCATGGAGATGGCCTATGGAGGGTGTTGCTGTTAATTCTAATTTATGCCAGTTTACTAAATTGAGAACTGCCTCACGCACTGATAGAATACCAACTACTGGGTCTGATTGGATGGCACCAATTAGCCTTAGGACAGCAGTGCCTAAAACTTAATATAATACAGAATCAAAGACTTGAGAAGGGGAAATCTAAAGTGTAACCTGCTATGTAAACACTTCAGTGAAATATAATCTGAGCGTGACATGGATATCTGCCATTGCTTTGTTAATCTTTATCAACAGCTTTATAGTCTTTGTGCTTCATAAGCAGTGCAAAAATAAATTTAAAGGAAGAAATTAAAGTGACTTAAGTATGCAGTAATGCATAACTGGTATTTCATAATCCATGTGAAGATTGCTGCAGTTTATTCTGCATTTTTCTTGCCTATCTCTAGATGTCAGTGGTTTACAGCAGTCCTAATACAACTTGTATATACCTATCTTTACATCTTATTTGTGCATCCATGTTTGTTCTCGTGTGCGTTCCTCACTGAAAATCCCTTTTGGGTTAGAATCTCCAGGCACATGCTTGACTTTGTTGTCACTGGCAACAACACTTATTTTCTTAGTTGGTGTCATTTTCTGACTGATTTTTGAGTTCTGTACTGACTTGTGTTGAGTCAAGCAGAGATGCCAAATGCATAGGAAGCCTAAATTATAGCAGTTCTTTCAGTGCTTCTAATAACTGATAGGTAATTTCGGTCCGTCGTGTGCAGTCTTACTGCTAAGTGCATCAGATACTTCTGGCTAAGCTTGCACATCCATCAAAATATACCTCACTGTAATCGTTCTGATGTTCTGCTCTCATGTCATGCTTTTCCTCTTACTGCATTCTTTAAAAACACAAAAACCAAAAGGAGCCAAGACCCGAAATGTAGTGGATGTGATGTCTGGGACAGTCTTTAACTATGAAATATCTAGGTCAACTTGAACTGGATTTCTTGCTGCTTTTCTGTTTTATGATTTCTTTATTCCTTGCAAAGAGACAGCCTCAGCTGTTCTGTAACTGCTTGTCAGTGCAGATAAGCATAATGTTTAGAATGAAGTCTTCCCTGGGTCCCGCTGAACTGGTGCAGCCTGTATGTTTTTCCTCTGATTGTGAGAAGTAAGAATCATTGCAGCTGTACAGGTTTGGCCAGTTCTTCTGATACATTCCCTAGGAGAGTACTATACTGCTTTGAATTTGGAAATACCCCAAATTCTTTTCTTTGTAGCAGTCCTTGATGGCTTCCTCAGTCCTGAAACTGCAGGTTTTGATGTTTCCCTTGGCAAATAAATGCATTCAGTTCTTCTGCCTAAAAACAAGGTAATCTGAACCTGAGTAGTGGAAGGAGTAATTGACAACTGTGTAATGCAGCCTTTGTCTTGCAAAAGTTTTCATAGGTAGGGTAGACACACCTTATGGCAGGTGGCAGGAGAGTGGTAATACAACACTGTACCATCTTCAGGTGACTCTGTTTTTGGGTAAATGGTAAAAACATCTTTTTGAGCTGCTTGAAGAAAAACCTGTATGCCTTAAAAAAAAAAAAAAATTGTTCTGTAAAGAAACCGTATTAGTTATGGATTGTGGTGTTACTACAGTGCATTTTATTATCCTATGTCTTTGCTCTTTGTTCCTTTTGGTGACATGTAGTCACTTGGGTTTAGGGCTGAAGCATGGTGCTAGATCTTTACCCTACAATCACCAACAAAAAATCACTATATAAACGTTGGTCACTTGGAAGTTTCCAGTTCACACAATATAAATAGGATGTATGCATATCCTTTCAGTGCACAGTATGTGATGTTTCACTTTCTCTGACGTAAGCTCATTCCACCTGCCAACAATATTTAATTGAATTGTGGAATTCTCTTGAGTTGGCGAGGTGTGACTTAATGAGAAGTAATATTTTTATGTATAGAGAGGCCAAGGCTGCTCAGGACAAGCCAAGGTTTTTGTGTGAGAACACAGATCATCACAGCAACTGATATGGCGGGCAGCTGCAGTGTCTTGTTCTGGACAAGCTGAACAGCTTCTTTGTGTAGAAGTGCAATGGTTTCATGGCAGGTGGATTGCAGAATATCTACGTGTAACCAACATGCCAGAGCAAGCCATTCCAATACTAGGAGTGCTCAGCAGCAGCAGTAAAACTGTCAGATACCAAATGGTGGAAGTGGAGCATCTAAGGAGACCAGTCCGACCTGCTTTTGCTAGTTCCTCATCATACTGACGTTTATCCTCTTTCCTTGCTGCATTTATTGCATGAACTCCCTATGTAATTTTTTTTCTTCCTCTGCTTGTCTGGTAAGCCTGCCTTTGGCTGAAGTTGGTGAAAGGATGGAGGTGGGCAAGGTTGGTCTGGGTGCCCCAGGTACTGCTGAGGATGCAATGGGATATGCGCACCTTCCCACCTGCTCACTTCTGCTGTTGCTGACTGGGTGTTGTGTTGGGTGGCCCTGGTGTTTGTTCCCCTAGTACACCTGAAGGGCTGCCCCACACATTATTGGCTTGAGAAGTTAATTTGTGGTGGTGAGGGAGGAGTTAAGAAAATATGAGTGGGCTGAATGCACACTCAGCGTGTTCGGCATTGGGTGAAAAGCCGTGAACATTGCCTGCTGAGAAGTACATTGAAATGAGGTGAATTTCTTATTGCATCATCACTCCTTTGAGATGGAGACATATATCTTGAGACATGTCTTACTCCCTCCTGGCTGTGCAGGTCAATGATCCTCTCCTCCGCCTGTTTCACATAGGGAGAGGCTATGAGCAAGGGTTGCCTTCCTTTCTCCCAGCTGATGTTGGACCAGCTTTTCTGCATTAGTACGATTGAGTTTTGTTAGGAAAATGAAAGTTCCCTAACTCTTAGTTGGTCAGAATTCTGGTTTGTGTTTTAAAGAGAGTGATGGCAGAACACACAAATGGATGTACTTGCTGTTGTCCTGAGGCCTATTATACCTGTATGCCTACTGATGATTTTTTTTTTTTTCAAGGTGCTTTATTTGGAAACTTTTTATTGGTAATGGACATAGCCCATTATGCTGTGGTTTAAAATAGTGACAGCTGTTTTTGTGGGTGAGTGCTGAGTCATTCAGATGTATGAGGTGAGGTGAATATGTAGACATAATTTCAATTTAAATACATTTCCTTTTAAAAATAGTGTAACTATAAGACTGTATTTGCATTAATGATGAGTGTTTGGCCTAAACATGTCACTTGTGCCTTGGTAAAGTCATTTGAAATTAATTTATCTGTCCATTATGTATCTCTTTAGGAAGTGACACTGGAAAGGACTTTGAGAATTGGCAATCAAAATGTATCCAGGCATTGAGCAGGCCCATGACAAAGTGCAAGTACAGTTAACCTATTATTGGTTTGGTTAGAAAAATCTCAGTAAATCGCTTAGGAAATGACAGTGAGGTGAAAAGCAATAGTTTGTTGTGTTACAAGGCTTTTATTTTAGAGCAAAGGAGTAAAAGGGTTCTCTTGATTCTAAGTCTTTATCAGAAACAGTTCTGTTCACTGACTGTAATTCTTGTGTTCAGTGAAGTTACTAAGAGAAGTCCTGTGTTTCTTTAAGTAAATTAACACTAGTTTGCTTGCATGCTGTTTATTTTGAACCAAACAGAGCTAAAATGGCAGAATTTCTTGCTTAGATTCCACCTGTCTAAAAGCACTGTATCGAGTGTGGAGCCAGTTGCTGATAGCTTGTTTATCCTCTTGGATGCTCTAGAGAGCTTGAGGTTTTTCTCCTTTGTTGTATGATGAGAGGAGTGTGTTTATTATGAACAACACTATTTTATTATGAACACAAGGGTGCTGAGCAGTCTCTGGTGTTGGTGGATGCTATATGTTGTATAGTCCCCATCACCTGCAGGTTGAGTCTTTGCTGTGCAATGGCAGAGAGCTTTCCTGCCTAATATGAATCCTTGCAGCTTCTGAGCCTTCTTTGTTGCCAGCTTTCAAACCGACTGGGGCTGCATATGAGAAAATCTTTTCTCATCTTCCAATCTATTGATTACTTGGAAGAATATGCATTAGCATCTGGTTACCGTCAAGTCATTCTGCTGTCTTAAGAACTGTTCTCTAGGAACTGAGTGCCTTGTATTGTGCTGTTGTCTGTCATCTCCTGTCCTTAGAAGTGTGTCAGCAGTTATCCTTTGTGGACAGCCTGTTCCTTCCTTGCCTCTTCTTTCTTTATCATGTTTGTCTCCTGCTTGTTCCCTGTGGTTTCAGGGAATTTTGTCTTCCATTGATGAGTGGGCTGTCATTTCCTTCCCCAGTTTTTTCTGAAATACTAATCTGATAAACATAGCAAGGCTGTCAGATGCCTGACCTGGAACTTCAGATTACCTTCTGAATTTTGTTTTTGTTTTAGAAACTGTTGTGTAACTTTCAGTATTTCTGCTGATTGCAAGAGTAGATGTGAAGCTTTAGGTGGTTGTGTTTTGCTTATGAACTTTACTGTAGTCACCATGGTGTTATAAAGTGCAACCAGGTAGAACTTTCAGTGCATGGTAAAACTGAACTGGGCAGTTCATCAACACTGCATCATTAGGTACAGCACTGCAGTTCTTCTTAGTATACTTTAAGTTTTAGCCCAAACTGTTTTGTAGATGCTTTGCTTTCTTTCCAAGGTATGTTGAAGGTTACATGTGTCAGAAGTTCCATCATACAGCCGGACAACACCATCTCTGCCTATTTTTTTGTATGGAAGGTCAGGCTGGGCATGCCACCTGTGTGAAGAATCCCATTCTTGTTCCACTGTTTGTATGGGTACTGCTTGGTTTGTTGGCTGAATGAGAGGAGGTAGCAAGCTTTGGTGGTTGCTACAAGAAACGAAACATCAGGAAAGTAACACTCAAAGGAGCTCTTACTATTTAAAAATATTTGATTCATTCCCTGGAATGCTTACCATAGTTACTAGAGTTTCTCAAGCACTGATTTAAGAAAGAAACTGCCACCGCTGTGTTCTGTGTGTAGAAAAGAGCATAAGTTGTGCTGGAAAACAAAGTGAAAACCTTCATTTCTCAAGTCATCTTATGTATGCTGGTATTTCTCAGCATTCTTCTGGGTCAGGTAATATGTATGTATTTTTAAGAGGAAACTCAAACTGGCCATTTTTCTGGTCAGTGATATTTAAGGGGCAGAAGAATATCATTCTGCTGCTGTAGGTGTTCATCCAGCAGTTTTACAAGGGAACATTACTTAATTTCCTGTAAAACAGGCTGTTAATGCTCTGATCACATGGAACTGAATCAGATCAAATGAGTAGTACTAGAAGTTTCTCAGAAACCAGATGTAGAAATATGTTCATCTTGGTGTGTGGATGTCAAAAAGATGAAGACAGTTATGAGTATTTATGGTGTACAGCTTGAGGGCAGGCTTTTAATGGATGACAGTCTTTGAATAAATTGAACTTTGGCTTAAGTGTTTTTCATAAGAAGTTTTGATAGCGTGTTTGGCTGGTGAGACAGACCTGGGAATCTCCTATATCTGCAGGGCAAAGTAAGCAAATGGTGCTTTACTGAGGAAGAACAAAAGCTGCTTTAAAAGAGTCAGAGTGCTTACACAAATAACGAGTTAGTTCATGTAGTTATAGCTTCACTCTCTTCTCACTTGGCAGGCATGGGAGGGATGCTGCAGCATGTGTGCTGGCATCCTGGCAGTGAGTGTTCCCAAGAAAATGGAACTGTGCAGCAGTGTAAGAATGCAGGCTTTACTGAGCATGTTGCTGATTGTGCCAGATGAGTATTCATAAACAGATGAGTTTTGTGTTCTGAAACAAAGACCTGTTGTCATTGTTTCTCTCTTAATGAGCAGTTTTGTGTTGAGCCAGCAGCCTGCCTTCTGCTGCTTGTTCTTTTGTGTGTTTAGTCCAAGTATGATATTCAGATTGCAGAAAAAAAAGTAACCCATATTCACATATATGTAAGTTCAAACGACTAGATATTATATTAGATGCTAGAGTTTTAGGGAAGGCCACTTTAGTATACTGCATGTCATTGCTTGTTAGGGATGACGTATGAGATGTAGACGTCATCTTTCTCAAATGTGCTTTTAATTCTCATATCTCTTGGTGCTGAGATGTCTGTTATGTGGAAGGAGCTTTAACGATGTCCTTAGCATCAGTCTTTTAAAAACAGCCACAGTATTTTATGCTAGGAAAGTCTTCAAAAACAAGTTGAAGATGTTAAATGAATGCATCTCTGTCGTTTGAGAAATCTGACCTCATTTAACATCTTCAACTTGTTTTTTAGTACAACTGGATCACAGTCTGAGAAATCTGACCTTGCTTTCTCCTGTGAACAGACACGTTAAATGGTTGCTGCTGGAAATTGTACTTAACTGTGAATGGTAGATGAGACCTTTTGTAGGAGAGGATTTGAGCTGTTTTTCCATATGGAGCCAACTGAAAGGGGAAATGAGTTCTCAGATTGATGGGTTTCAGAATGAGGAGTGGAGGAATGAGGTTCCTCTTTTGGGAAATCCTTAGGCTGGCGGTACATTTTTCTTTCTTTATATCGGTAGATGCTTTAATACATCCCTCAGGTATGATAGGAATGGTTTTTAAAGACTTAGTATTTTCTAGAGGGTTGTGAGGAATAAATATTCTTATCATTTTTCTCCCTGTGTAATTAAAAGCTGAATGGATGTGTTACTGTTTTTGGACTAAGACCAAGAATAAAAAATCCCAGTTCAAGCAGTTTCTTTATTTTCTTATAAAATCACAGCAGACTGATAGATTATTTTTTTTTTTTTTAAATGCTGGCCATTTAATAGAACAATCTTAGAACCTCTGTTTGTTCACAAAAGGTTGTTTGGTTGACTTAGTGCAGTGCTTTTTTTTAAATATAAATAAAATTTGTGTTTATATGAAGCTAATCCCAATCCAGTTATTGTCATACTAGCATGAATAGAGAACATGGAGAAAGTTCCTGTGCTCAGACAAATTATTGCTATCAGTATGGCTGTTTTGAGCAGCTGTGCAACAACACAGTAAGCAGAAGACATAGAGCTGGTTTTATTTTCCCCACACAGGTTGCAGTGGCTGTGAAAATAGATGGCCTGTGAAAATACTGTTTTTGAGTTCTTTGGCCTGTGCTTGTGAGTGGTTTTCTTTAAGTTTACAAATCAAGCAATAATTCAGGAGAGTTTGGTTGTTGAGCTCTTGTTTTTTCTTTTGAAACAAGTGGGATGAGGTTGTTGATGCTCTTCTGTTTGCATCTCCAGCACTGAAATGCTACCAGGAGAATAAGACTCAGTGATAATGACATGTTAATGTCATGATTTTGCTTTCTAGAGGTTAAGAACAAAGCTGAATGCTTGCCTAGTGATTGCTTCCCTTGTAGCTCTTAGGGCTTCTCTCACCCTCTTTTGTTTGGACCTAGAGCTCTCATTTTCTGCTTGGTTGTAGGGCAGTGGTAGCCAGCAACTTCCTGGTATTTTCTGATTGAAGACTTGAGGTTGTTCTTGGAAGGCAGCTGGGTGTGCATTTGTGATTCCTTCTTAACATTGCTCTCTGTATGACACAGGCTTTGCGTGGTGAGCAAATGGTGTTCTTCAGTGCAGCAAAAAGGTATCAAACTTGATGGCCCCTGTAAACAGGACTGGCAAATTGTCCGGATGCTTTCTGTATTTTGTTTCAAGTGGAAAGTGTGGGCTGTCAGTGTGAGAAAAGCATTGCTCTGCGTGAGGCTGTTGTTGCCTGCTGTTTGACATGCTTTTTGAAGTACAATTTTCCTTTTTCTTTAATCTTAGAAGTTGCCTACCAAGTCTTTATAAACCAGAGAGTCTTAACCATATTTAAAGTTGAGGTTAGAAAGGACTGAAGCAGGAATACGTTTTGCTTAGAAATACAGATTTCATTGCATGTTATTTACCATAAATTATATGTCTTCATATACATACATACACATGTATATGCATACGTATGCACATACATGAAAAGGAGTCCCTGGGGTTTGTTGACACTTCTATACATTGTTGGCATTTTGCACTAAAATTTGTTTGGCTGTCCCTGAGAATGGAATGTGCAATAAGATTAATAACTTCTATATTGTTATTCCTCATTTTGGTCGTAAGCTTTGGCAATGAATGTATAGAATAACACTCTTTATTTCTCTGCCAGGTTTACTTTCCTTCCTGAAATGTGTGTTCTGTATTGGAGTTAGCTGTGAAAATTACTCATGTGTTCATTAAACATATTAAGAAGGGGAGCTAAGGAAGCCAGCATAAAGAAAAAAGGTTTTGTAAATGGAGACCACTTAATAGAGCAAAACACCAATGTGAATTCTAACTGTACTTTGTAGGCCTCTGCTGAATGTTTGTGCAAATGTTGAAAAATCTGCTGCTTAAAGATAAGAGCTGTAAGTTGTGATAAGGTAGTTGTGGTGTAGTCAGTCTTGAGCATTTCTCACATCGCAGATGCTTTGTGTGAGATATTAGAGCGTGTTTTCTTGCAGGCTTTTTGTTACTGCTGCCTTTTTACACTCTCTTGAATAGAGCAGTAGGAGAGGAAGATGATGCAAGAGAAAAGAAGCTGTGCTGCTTGTAAGCGAGCATCACTTGGGCGTGCGGCAGCAGAAGCTCAGGCAGCCAGCCCTACTCTAGTGAAGGGAGCACAGGAGGAGAGCAAGAGGTGGCCAGTGGTGGGGGCATTGGGTTTGCATGGTCAGGATGGAGTGCAGATGAGTGGAGGAATGCTTTGTCCCAGCTCTGCAGATACATCCATCCTTGGCTTAGTGCACTCCTAAGTGCTCTGATGTGGCTCCTTGAATCTCAAGTATCTGTAAAGCAAGCAGTGCTTAGTACTTCCTATTTTCTTGCTTCCTCTCACAATTTAACTTAGCTAAAAAAGCCTGTTCTGCAGTGAGCTTCCATGTTTTTCCTTTAGGAAAGAAGGTATTTTACACAGAAAACAGCAGCTGTCATAGTGGTGCTGCAAGGCCTGTCAGGGAGATGGCACTTCAAGTTTTTGTATGGCAGCTTTGCTTGGGGCTACAAGGTTGTGCAGTAGATTTGTGTAGGTTTCAGATGCAGAGCTCTCTGAAGATATTACTTCAGTCCTTCTGACTCAACATCCTAAATATTAGCCTTGCTCTGTGTGACCCAGCTGAAACAAAAAATGCTTTCTGGGAAGGACAGTGCTCTCAGAAGCTGGAGGATATGCTCCGTGCCCACTGAGGAGCCAGGCAGCTGCTCAGCATCACTTTGCTGTCTCAGGGCAGTAGGATCAGTGCACACACTGCAATGCTGTGAAATCTGGTTGTGGATCGTAGACTTGATAGAGAGCATTTTCAAAAAGAATATCTACTCTTTAATAAGTGTTTTTATTTGCATATGCTAAATATTATTTTGCCACAGGCATGAGGTATTTCTTACTGAATGCACCTGTTCTCACACACAGTCCTTAGCAAAATCACTTAGTGGTGAAAATCCTTCTTGCCACAGGGAGTGATAGTAGAAACTCTGGAAAGATGTGTGGCTTGCTTTTAGTGGATCACATGCTGTGTAGTTTTTGAGTTGGCTATGAAAGCATAGCCCATGCTGTTCCAGATCTTTCTCTTGTTCAAATTACAACCTGACTTTTATGGTTTCTTGCAGGCCAGCCCTCCAGATCTCTATATTGAAAGATTTAACGTAGCTCTTGGACAATATATGGGAGCATTGCAGAGCATTGTGCCTCTTTTCATATATATGGTAAGTTTTAGAAAACTATGTTCAAATAATTTATGTCCATGCACAAGATTGTGACTAAAAGCTGAAAGGAGTAGAATGCACTCTAACAATTTTTCTTGCAGCTTTTACCATTCAGGCCTTGTTTTTCTTTCTACCTGTATAGCAGTTCTGATAAAGATGTGTGGGAAGAAGAAAGGAAGCTATGCTGCTTAATGCAGGCTTCTGGAATTGATTTTCTGCCCTAGTATTGTATTATTGGAAATAGGAGGAATTACTTTTATTTTGACTTGAAAGCAGCCTTACCAAATAGGCCATTATTTATATCTTTTTTTGATATGGTCTATTGACTTGTCATGTATTGGCTTGGTAGTTTGGGCAGGTTATAAGGATGATTTTATTGCTTTTAAATTGCACAAATTAAGACAAGATGGACATCTTGTGCCTGAAAGAAATATCTCTTTCAAATGTTTGTATTGGTTGGTAAAGCAGTTCTGACTGGGCATGGGCAAACTTTCATAGTTCTGTCAGGCATGCTTGCAGAGGTTCAGGAGGCATTGACTGTAACTGTTGTGCAGATCGTGTACTTTATGATGTCTTCTGTGTCTCTGAAAAAGTCTGTAATATGCATAACTTTAGTCAAAATGCCAAGTTTCTTATTGCTTTTTTTAATGGTAAAGAATAATTAAAGCTTGCCTTCCTCCCAGAAATTATCCTTACATTGATTTGCTTAGAAATAAAATTTTTAGCAAAGAAATGCATTAAAAAACAAATTGCTTTAGATTTCATAACATTGCTTCAAACTCCTCAGAAGTTATTTTCGTTGGTAGCATCCCAATGTTTGGGAAACAAAGACCTACATTGTAGTGGGTGTACCTGAAACAGAGTAGTTTGCTATAGTCCTTCGGCATAGTTTCACCATGTAGATTTGTTGCATTACAAGAGGAAATTGTCTTTCTTGAACTGGGTTTCTTCTGATCTACTCTTCACCTAGTTCATACAAAATGAAATCCTGTTGCTACAGCACCACGTGTAAGCCAAGGAGTGTGTTCATGGTGATAACTTTTGTTTTTCTCGCAATTCTTGTCATGATTTAATATCGCAATCTGCTTACAAATGGAGATAAGCTGCTCAGGTTTGTACTTTATTGAATGCTTAGATCTGTCTCAGAGGCTCTTCAATCAGAGGTCAAAATCTTCAAAATTAAGACTGCAGTACCTGTAGCATCCAATAATGTTCATGGTAGACACAGACTATCTTTAGCATGCCTATATAGAATATAGCCTATATAGGCTAGTTATAATTGAATAGATTTCCATATCCTTCTTTGTACACCTTAATTTTTACAGTTTGAGTCTAACTGATACGTGAGCATAGACAAAATCATTAAAGAGTAATCTCTAAAATGAGTACTTGCATAGTAATTGTAATATAGACTGTTTTAAAAAACATGTAAGTCCACAGTTGATATTTTAAAGGAGCAATATCTTTGAAGCAAGAGTAGGGATTTGTTCAGGCAGTAAAACTCTGTTCCTGCAAATGAGAATAGACCTGACAGCAACTTCTGTGCTTGTTCCTCTATCTGCCAAATGCAGTGCTGTTGTATCAGTTATTTAGTTGTTTTGAAGGATAATATCAAGTTAAGACTCAAACTTGTTCCCTGATATCTTAATCAGTTGCACATGATGTGGAAGATGCTGCTAGAAAAGTCAGGATGGAAAACATTCTCTTCTTAGTTTATTTGTGTATATTGGGAAGTATTTATATGTACAGCCTCTTCTGCAGTCTTACATTATTGCATCTCATTGCGTTTTCTGTTATGCAGCAGCAGTTTCTTTTATTTAGACAAGAAAATAAGATTACGAAACAACTGCAGGAGCTGAAAGCCTAGTTATTCTCCAGTATAAATTACAGCTTTGCAGTTGGTTTAATAGGTACTTCCAAGGTGCATTTAATGGAAGTGGACTAAGTTGTTGGATTCTGCCTTTTTGTTCACAGTGCCACTGCTTTACTTTTTTGATAGCGATGTAATTGTTTTAATCAGGAGTTTCTGAAGTTGCTGATTTGCACTAATAAGCTTTGTTCTAAAGAGGTGGTTATATTAATGCTTAGGAAAACTTCAGACATGCATTTACATGTTTAAAAATCTAGGAAGGTAAGGAAAATACAAAGGTTTTTAATACAACTGGAATGTGTTTTTGTCTTTTGTTGGCCACAAGAGATGTAATTAGCCTTAGGGCTCAGTGCCGTGCATTTGAAATCTACAGCAGTACTTCTCTTTGCTGGTCTGTACCAAACCATATTCTTGTGTGAATGGTGGAAACACAGGACGGGAGTTTTCTTAGCGTGCTTTTATGTGGTGACCAAGCCCTTGGGTGACAATTAAGAGGGCTGACTTTGCAACTGGGGAATTGTTCATTCTTTCTTTGCTAGGAACATTAGTGGTTTTCTTCTTCTAATGATGTTGCTACATCCGTTGCTACATTGAACTTCTCAGGAAAGCACGGAGAACTGACTAAATCACTGTTCTGACTCTAAATTCAGTGGGTTTAATCTCCTTCAGAAATTCTGGTACAGAAATGCAGATGAAGCAAATGAAGCTAGAAGTCAGCTTAGCACAAAGGTCTTTATGTCCAAGGATAATATCAAGTAAATAATTGTATTCTGTATGATCAGTAAGTCTAAATGAAGTTATTCTAGATGCTTGCAGCCCTTGCATGTGACAGTACACTGCACACATGAATGAATAAAGATATGTATTCAAAGAAAAATTAAAATCAGTGCTTAGAAGATAAGTTCTTGCTGGCTAATTATAGTTATGTAGATAAAAATCTATTATTTTGTGGTATGAGGTGGGCCTAATTCTTGTGAACCCTGTGGATTTGAAGGATTTGAATTAGTTGAGATTAGAACCTTATTTATCACTGTCTCTAAAATGTTGTTCTTACTGGGTGGCTTTGCACTTGCTTATTAGCTGGGGGCGTCTTGTGTGTGTATACATGAAGAGATGTTTGTATACATACATGAATGAGGTAATAAACACCTATGTACTGTTGGTTTTTTCTTTCTGAAGTGTTTTGCTCTCCTTTTAATGATTTTAACAGAATTGTGTCTTCTAATGTTAGGATGGTTTCTAGAAGAAATGCTTGCATCGTATCTGAGTTTCTCAGGTGCTAGTATCTATTTACTATTTATTTATCTGTCTGCTAAATCTTGAAGTTAAATCACTTTTCAATAAATACTGATAGAGCCAAAGTAGTGACATCTTATGTGAAAGGTGTTCCTGGTTTTCCACTAACAAGAATGAGGCACTTACTCTGCTATCTCCTTTCAGCACTCTGGGCTGGAAATGAAGTACTTGCACTAGGTTTTTCAAGTGTTGCATAAGAAAATAGCATCACTTTTTTTGCATGTCTTTGTCAGCTGCATTTAATGTAAGACAGCTTTGAGGCTGTGAAAATAAAGAAGGTAGCATCTCCTCTGTCGGCTCTTAGGAGAATGTGGTTAGCTTGACATTGCCCTGTGTTGGTTGGGGTCACTGTGTGTTGTAGAGGAGCCTTAAGAAATCAAACTGATAGAAGGCTGAAGTACAGTGTGTAGGTTGGTACTTCCTAGTAGTAGAGCTGCTTCTGTTACTGTGAATTTCTGTTGCTGTTAATGACAGTTAACCATCGGTGGAAAAAAGCAGTATTGTGCAAGTGTTCTACTGTGTACCTTAAGATTAAGTTGATTTTCTAGTAGCATGGCTGCATAATACTATGCAGGTTGTCCAGATGAGTTCAGTTGGCCTATTTCCAAGTTAGTATTGAAGTGATAGGAGATTTTTTCATGGAACAGCTATGCTTTTGGGTGTTTAATGCCCACGCATAAAATACAGTGAGGGTATCTTGCTATGAATTGCAGTTTTGGAACTGGGGAGTAATGCCAAGTGGTACACTGGGTTTAAGGTCCCTCGGGGAAGTCACGAGTAGAATTTTTTCTGAGGGCTGAGGAGACAAATTTATTAATGCTGAGTGGGTCAAGATAATTTTTAAAATTAAATTTTTAATGTAATTTAGTTTAATACAGGTTTGTATATATCACTTAATTTCACAGTACATTAATTTTGGGTATCTGTCTTCTGAGATTATCAATGAACCTCAGGAGTGAATAGCTCTACTGGTAATTTATTACTATAATATACCTATTTTAATGGCTTAATCACAATTAGGTATTTTAAATGTGATATCCAGCCTTATTTTACTATTTATGGTGTTTATGATGTTCTAAAACACTGTTTGTTTTTTTTTTTTTTTCTACAGATTCTCATCTGGATCAATATGTAGATGTATCTGTAGATGCATTTAAAAACCAAGCATCTGTAGATATTTGACTTTATTAATGCTATAGTACCACATGCAGACTCAATTTTAAATACATGTCTTTTTGTTGTACAGGACTGTTCTATGCAATATAAAAGTGGGCACCAAGGAAGCATTTTGCGGGTTAAATATTCTACAGTTTTAAAAATATAAACTATTTTATTCAGGATTTAAAAAGGTTTTTATTTCCTATTATAAAAACCAACCACTGATATTTCTGTCTTATTTTCCAGAATAAATTTTACATAGAAACCAAGCTTAACAGAGACTTAAAAGATGACCTTATAAAGCTGTTTACGGAACATGTTGCAGAAAAGCACATTTACAACCTAATGCGTAAGTACCCTTAGTGGCTTTTTCTTGTAATGGGAGTCTGGAAAACTGCAGTGCTTTCAGATATTGCAGAAATCCACAGCAAACAGAAAATGGCAAATGGTTAAGAAGGCTCAAATACAAATTCCATTGGAAGGCATAGGAAGGACTGTTGTTTCTTCTGTGTTAATTTTCAACCATAAATGAAAAACAAGTGTATTAAAATTAGGTTTTTCTTACGAAATTTGTGATTTCTTATATACCACATCAAGGGATACAAGTCAACGGTTATTTTAAAATGTTTTTGTGTATGAAGTAATGATTGGTCTGGTATTTACCTTGAAGCAATTGGTGTGTGTATGCTGCATCCAGATGATGAGTGGCAAGGGTTGGGTTTTCTTTCTGATTTCTCCTGGTTAGTAATGCCTGTCTCCTTTGACTGAAGGGTTTGAGGTACACCAGAATAGTGGGAGATCATCAGTTTAATTTCATCATTTTCTTGCCGTCTGGAAAAGTCTGTGATGTAAAGCTTTTAGGCATCAGATCAGCTAGGAAATGTGAGGTTAGTGAGGAAGGTCCATCCATCACCTAACATTGTATTTTGGGCCAAAGGCATTTACTGAAGTGTGGTATGATGATTCCTCCAAGAAAATCATGGAAAATTCAACTGCTGTTAGATTTAAGTGTGTGCATGTTTCAGGCAATGAAAATATGAATGTGACTTTTTTCTTTTTTTTCCAATGAGAAAGTAAAGGTCATGCTTTGAATCAAATCTTCAGGATGTAAGTAATGTCAAATTTGTTGCTGTGTAGTTTTCTGTGAATTGATGTAGGAGAATTAAATAGAAGCCACAGATAATGCATTGCAATGAAAGGGGGGAAAAAAAGCTCTTCCCTAGCTCTGTGATAGTTACAGAATTGAAATGGAAGGAAAACACTGAGAAATCATCTGCCACCTGTCTGGCTGCTCTATATGGAGAGTGTTGTTTATGAGCACCTTTTTTGGATTTCATTTCAGTCTACTTTCAGCTTAGCAAAGCAAGTCATTTCATTACTGTTTTACTCCTAAGACTTGCATAAACTCTTAACTGATCTGACTGGTTAAACCTTGAGTAGTGGGATCTTTAAATTCAGATAAAGTATGCAAAATAAAATTCCAAACTTATGAACAAATTTTGAAGAAACAACTGAATATGCACAGTATGTGTAATACTGTTGAGGTACAGAGGAAATTCTAGTGTTATATTTTCTCAACTGTTGTAGATTGCTGATTTTCATACCAGAAAGATTGATATTTCCTTAACGTTCAGAAATATGACAGGTCTGAAAATAGGATTTATATATGGGCTTTGTGACTTTAAAACATCACTTTCAATGTGTGATACTGTTTATTCTAAAGTTTTATACAGATTTGGTTCAATAGGGAAGTGTTGGTGTGTTATGAAGGAAGAAAATAACATTTTGAGCAGGCATACATAAATCAAATTCTGTAATTTGTGATCTGTACTGAAAAAATTGAGTTCTGGTTGTGCTCAGCACGAAGAAGTGCGTCCTCCAAGAAAGAACCAAAACATTTGTTGAATCAGCTTGTGATTTAGACTCAAGGAATATGGTAACACCTGCTCTTGAATTTGTTGGTATGTTTTTCATGGGCAGGCATTTCTGTTTGTAGTGCCTTCTTATTCCATCAGAGCCTGGCAGCTGGCTCTTCCATCCAAGGCTATGTCTGGGAGGTGACTGTAGGGAAACTGCAGTTCGATCTACAAGTTCCTTCTCTATTTCAAATTAAAAGAGAGAAAAAGAAGTGTCAGGAAGTGAGTGTAACATACATCTGTTTCTCAGTGTTTGATACTGCTCAGGCTGTGAGGGGCTCCTAGTCCTCGTGCTGTGGTTGGAAGCAGGAGGATGCAGAAGGGGCTTCTGACAGAATGGAGAGTGTGTCTGAGAGCTTAGTTGCAGAAAATAAAATACCTCTTATTAGGTGAGAATTCTTAATTTGCAGAAAAAAATGCAGCGTAAGTGGACAAGATCTTGCCTGCAAAGCTTGGGCTTCATAGCACTTCTGAGCTAATTTACAATTTATGTAAATTACATGAAAACATGGTTGTGTTTTTGTGAAGTATATTTACACTGGCAGTTGTTTATCAAGTCAGTGCTTTTCAAATTAAAGTGATGCATACAAACTACGTGAAAATAACCTGGTGATTTTCCTTATGAGGCCTAAAGCTGGCTCTTGCTGATAAGGGTGCTTTATAAAATGGCTTAGGAGAAGTTGTCATGTGCAGAACTACTTAAGTGAATGTAACAGAGATACAGCATCTTATTTACAAGAAGCCTCAGAAGTAAATAATGCAGAGGATACCTACTTGTCAGTCGAAGAATGTTGCCTTTATTCATTCTGGGTTCCTGCTGTCATTGTCACCTCTGCTGGCTTTCTTGGGTTGTAATTGCAGTGTCTTCAGTTGTGGAAGTGGCTAACAGCTCCTCATGCTCCCCAATTTTACTACTACAAATAGGTAAAAATCAGTGGGGGGAGGGTGGTTTTAACTAATCGCTGTGTTATTTCCTTGTAAGAGTTCTGTGAGCTTGATACCAAAAGCAAGGTTGCTCTATAATAGCTCTTTTTGTTTGTTCCATTTGCAGTGTACTGTTGTTTCTGCTTGGTGGATAGATCAGTTGCTTTTAATTACCCCTGTTCTCCTTACAGAAGCTAAACAAAGGGAGATTTGGGCTGGAATCCTGCTGTGGAAGTTGACAAGGTCCCAGCTTCTCAGTGTTGAGAGGAAAAGAAATAGTAGCTTAAACAAGTCAGGGAGAAGAAAGTAGCTTTAGAAAGATCTGTCACTTGGATTCAGTGAAGGTGAAGGGATTTTGCTGTTTCATCTCTTTAGTTTTTGGTTGTGAAGATGTACTTCAAGAGAGAGGTAATTTATGTTACAAAAGATTCTTCCTTTAAAGTGGCAGGAAAGGTATTTCCTGTGTGGGTGGTTTCTGCAAGATACTGGCAAAGCTGACCTGAAATCTGAAGAGGGCTGCTACCAGCTTGTGGTGATGTGCTTATGAAGTCTGCTTTTTGGTTGCAGCAGGTACAAATGTAATAGAAAATGACAGAAAATGAATGAAGCTATAGCTGTTGTTCTCTGCTGCAATTATCAGTGTTTGTATTTGCCTTGCAGAGATGTGTGTGTTGTGTAGGCTGTGGTTAAGCAGGAAAGGTGTGCTGGCGTGTACAGCCCTACGTTGCTAGCAACTGATTCTTATTGACCTCCAGAAACACCATAGTGGCAATGAAGCAAGGGACCCTCATCTCTGGCTGCTTACTGCTATGGCATAACTTTAGCAACAGCATTCCAAATCAGGCTTTCCTTTGTGAATACTCCAGAAGAACAGTAGTGTAAAAGGTTGAGAGAAAGACTTCGAGCCAGGTTTGTAGCCTGACAGTACAGCTGTGACACATAACATGGATTTCAGGTTGGTTTTTCCTTTACTCCCCATGCTTCACTCTTTGGTAGTTGGATAAGAAGATGCAGGTTGACTTCTTCCCTCCTTAGGCTGGTGTTTATTTTTTCTCCATTCTAACATTGATCTCAACCTGCTTAAGAGAAGCAGCTAATCATCATCTTGACTCTCAGACAGCAGAGAGAATCCCCTGGGAGGAGAGAAGCACTCTACTTTTCTGGTTTTTTTTTTTTTGTTTTTTTTTTTTTCTTTTCCAGAAAGCATTGCCCACAGCCTTTTTATATGCTGTGTGGACTTACTCTGAAGAAGTCTTTCACTGTTTAAGCTACATCTGCATCATCAGGTGATGATCTAGAGTGTAAACAGCCAGTATTCTGCTGTTGAAAACCTGGTGTTGGTTCATGTTTATGTGCGTTTTGGGGAGTTTTTACTTCACACTTGGTTATGTGTTTTCCCGTGGATGCAGTGTTCTTTGAGGGTTTGAGCACAACTGGTTTAAGTTTACACCAAAAGAATTGAATTGCTGTGCTCCAGGGCACCTCTGTCACATGAAGCAAAGTGCAGTAAATGGGATGATCAGCGAGTTTGCTTTGAAAGTATGTTTCTAATCTGAACTAAACAATTAATGTAGAATGAGCCCTTAAGCATTTGAAATCACTGTATTTTTCTTTCAGAGAGACACAGCAACAGCTATAATGGCAGAAGCAGTATGGTGCAATAAGGAAAAGGTGCAGCTCCGTCGCTGAGACGCTTTCCTTCTGTAGCACTGCATGTTGCTCTGCCCTGTGACACTGCTTTCCTTTTCCTTTGTGTGCAAAAATCAATAGCAAAAGAGAATCTGCACAACTTCACCATCTTCATACAATTTTCTTGGTTTTTTTTCTAAGTTTGATATGAAAAATAAATGGTAGATTTATTAAAAGGAAACTTCAAAAAAAAAGAGGGGAGAATAAGTCTCTTGTGGTGAGACTTGCTGTGTCTGAAGACTCAGAGTGGGTGTCTCGATGGGTTAAATGGGATGAGAAGATTCCTTTCTAAGGGTCTTAAAAGTAAAGCAAGTCAACACAGTACAAGGAAAAAACACTGACCCTTTCTAGTGTGTTTGAACCTAACAATAGTTGATAGTACATTTTATGGGAGTTGCAGCGTTTCTGTTGTATGAAACTGAAGGTCCTTCTCAAAATGTGTTGGCAAGTTCTTTGCTGGAGGTCCCAGAACTGTGATTTGGTTTGCAGTGTTTAATTTCTAGGCTAAGATATGTAGGCAAGCAGTATCATCCTATCACCTCAATTTCAAATTTCTATTCTAAACCATAAAACAGTTTTTTAAATTTTTATTCAGAGGCAAACTATTTTTGAGTTCTTCATTAAAAATCTCATGCTCTTCTTCCCAAATATTGGAAGACACAGGTGATTGCTAATGGCCACCAATTGCAGTTATGTTCTTTTCTAATGCTGGGGCATTGCTATTGCAGGATAGTCAGCCATTCCTTCTTTAAGACATTGAACTGACACATTTATGTCAGTCTGTTCTTATACCTCAGAGGGTACTTCTGCACTCACAAGG